AAATGCGTAATCGAGAGCCTAAACAACGGAATCTGCCCGAAATCCGACGTATGTCATGACCGAAGGTGATGAGTTGTGATCCTTGGCTAGTTTTCAATCAAATTAGACTATTAATTCTCCAAAAAGAGACAAACTCGAAGTTATCATGAAATCATTATTTTGCCTTGCAATCCCACTTCATCATAAATTCTAACTCCTTATGCACTTCATCAACTTTTCATCGCCTCCTCGAAGGTCTTTGGCTCATTATCAGCAAATTCCTCATAGCTCCCATGAGTAAAAGCTAGCTCAAATTCATAACCAAATCTTATGGGTACTCTAGATTGTCTCATTTCTCTATCCCTAGCTAAATTATAATATGCTAAAGGATTCTCTTCCTCTTGGCGTTCTTCTATTACTACTTCCTCTCTATTCTCCATGTCAGGTTGTTGTTCATGAGTCTCCACCTCACTTTGTGTGACAAGGATATATGTACTCAGATTCCCTAACTCCACCCATAACTGATTTCTCTCTTCAGCTTGTTTTTCTTCACTCAGGAGTTCAGATTCAGTTTTAAGGCATGGCATTTCACTCTTATTGAATGTAACATCTCTACTCTCAATGATCTTAACCCCCTTTTGGCTCCTATCCCACAACATGTACCCCGACACCCTCAGTGTAACCTAGAAAAACACATTTTCTAGCTCTAGGTTCAAATTTTTCCTCACTCTGATGAGAAAATGCAATACAACCAAAAGTTCTAAACATAGAATAATCACTTAGTTTACCAAACCATTTTTCATGCGGAGTATCACCATTCAACGCAGCAAATGAAATCAAATTAATCAATTAACAAGTAGTCATAACAGTTTCGCCCCAAAAAGACTTCGGAATTCCAGAACTTGACATCATGCAACACACTTTATCAAGTATGATTCTATTCATCCTTTCTGCTACCTCATTTTGTTGGGAAGTGTAAGGAACCGTTTTATATTTTGTTATTCCATTTTCTTACCACATATTATCAAATTCAATGTTACAAAACTCTAGGCCATTATCAGTTCTCAAAAACTTGATCTTCTTACCGTTTGGTTTTCAACTTGTCTTTTCCAATTATTAAAATTGTGAAAAGTGTCGGATTTATCTTTTAAAAGATAAACCCACACTTTTCTAGTGTAGTTATCAATAAAAGACAAGAAATACCTATTTCCACCCGAGGTGGGACTGCTAGATAGACCTCATAAGTCCGAATGCACATATTCAAGCATGCCTTTAATTTTATGAACAGACTGGAGAAAGTAGTTTTATAATATTTATCAAGCACACAATGGTCACAGAAAGATAAATCAGACACACAGTCATTTCCAAATGCACATTTTTCATTAAGAAGTTTAATCCCCTTAATACCTACACGTGCAAGTCTATTGTGCCATTTATGTGTGTAATTATCCTTAGTGGAAGAGATAGAAGACTTTAAACCTCTCATCACTTCTCCAATAGTTATATAAATATCATTTTTCCTAATTTTCTTAATAGAGACAAGTGCACCCTTAATCAATTTCAAAACTCCATTTCCAAACTTACTAGTGAAATCAGCTTTCTCAAGTATTTATACTGAAATTCAATTTCTAGACAATTCAGGGATATACCTAATATTTTTTAAAGTATGCACAAAACCAGTATCAAACTTTAAAATAATATAACCAATGCCAATAACATTATAAGCAGAATTTTCATACAACACAAAATGCCCATCATTTAATTCATTCAAAATTTCAAACCAGTCTTTTTGTGATGTCACGTGAAAAGATGCATCAAAATCAAGTATCCATTCATGCAAACGAGAATTGATAGTTAAATTCAATTCAGTAGGATAAACAATAGGACTTGTAATCATATAGATATCACCGTCACCGCTATAGGAAATAGAAGACAATACATTTACCTCATCTCTATCTTTGCCCTTTTACTTATTTTTCTCTTTATAACAATTCTTTATAAAATGCCCCGTGTTCCCACAGCCATAGTATTTCTTAACCTTAGTCCTAGATTTGGATTTAGGTTTACCCTTGTTCTTCCTTCTACCTCCATTACTACATAACTCGCCACTACTTTGGTAACCATCATGCCTATTTTGCCTAAAATGAGTTCACCACTTATCGTGAATCTCACCATTTTTCATATCATATTTTTCAACTCTAATCTCCATCTCCTTACTTTTAAGAGAATCGATGAAAATTTCGGACATCAAAGTGTCTCTACCATACTTAATAATTCATCAAAATAATAGCCTTATATGTTTCAGATACAGACTCTTCACAGTTAACAATATCTTGAATAAGTTTGTTAAACACGTCTAAATTATTAACTAGATCTTTTGAAAAATCCATTTTGAAACTGAAAAAACGCTCAAGTAAGTAAAGCTTGTTTGGAGTAGATTTGAGTAAATACAAGTTTTCCAATCTTTTCCAAAGTTTTTTAGTGGTTTTCAGTTTACCACTTTTCTCAAAACTGCGTCAGCCAGATACAAAATAATTGAGGTATAAGCAAGCTCATCAACTTCTTTTTGTTCTTTTAAAAAATCAGTGAAAAGGTTGTCATCAATGGCTTTTGAAACCTTTTGTTGTATCAAAATACCTCTCATTTTTCGTTGCCAGATTAAAAAGTCACATTTTCCGTTAAAAGTTTCCAAATCAAAATTGTGTGTTGTCATTTTTAATAATCAACAAAAAATATAATATCACAATTAAGCCACACAAAGTAGATCTAAGTTCGTAAATATACACCATTTTAGATTTTCAGGGTTTCGTAAGATTCACGATCTTAAATTAAGTGAATGTTTAAATGGTTAAGGTCTAGATATTCTAATAACTTAATAGTGCAACAAGAGATATGTTAACTAAACAGTTTTACTCACGACATATCACAAAATTTAATATGCCAAAGTTTATCAAATAAACAATTTTAATCACGTAGCATGTGGTAAGCTGCACTGGTCCTAGAAGCACATTGTCTATCCAAATTTTACATCCCTAGATAAGAGTAATCTAATCAACCTTAGCTGAGATAAGAAATTGGATGATGTTTAATTAGTGTCGATTTATTATATTTTTATTCTTGCGAATTGTAATTAGACACGCCAAGAAAGCTCAAATTATTGCTCATGTGGAACCCTATTAGAAGCTGAGTCAAGAGTTGTCCACGTCATCAAGATAAAATGCAACTGAAGCCTATGAACGAAGTGCAATATAGCAATCTGAAGTCCACGTTCAACGAATGAAGCCCTCCATCCGAAGCACCTATCATCCGAAGTCCTTTCACCAAAGCTCCCCAGCTTCTAAAGGTTTCGGATTAGAGACGGTTCCCAAGAAGATCCTTTGCGAGGATCTAGTGAAAATGGTTGATATGACAACTGCACTCCAAACAAGTTAAATCCAACCAACCTATTAACCAAGAGTGCTGACACACACTATAGGAGGGCTCCCATTTCCCAAGTACTCAAGTGCAACTAGGACAAGTGGGTGATAGGACGTCTCAGTAGGTCGAATGAAGCCACGTACGCTTCATCTAATGGTTATGACTTCAACTATAATACTATAAATACCCTTTTTTGTATCATTTAAAGCAAATGCAATTTCAAATACCAAAATTTATACAACTATTATATCTCTAGTCGTGGCATAATATCCATTGTTTGTTTCTACATTAATGTGATTTATGATACGAGGGTGAGTCTAGGTAAGGATCCATTAATCGTTGAGAAAAGGCCTATGGCTAGGTCGCAGGCGAAGCAGATCAAAGAAACAATGAGACTATTTGCTTAAGCCATGGTAGACGAAACATTGATCAGGAAAACAAATGGACAAATTTCATGTTGGACATGGGAAACGAAGTGTATCAACTTGGTACAAGCAACAAGCGAGGGACCTGAGTGGCAAAACTATGCGACCGCATAGCATACCTATGCATGCCGCCGCATGCACCCATATGCACTGAACCAAATTGAGGGCAGTTGAAGTGGTCTATGCAACCATATGTAGTTTCACTATGCAGACGCATAGTACGATTTCTAGACAGATTTTTTCCAAATTTTGTTTAGACTTCCATTTTAATTAAAACTCTTTTATGGTATCTTTTTGATATCTTTTAGGTCTAATTCCATTTTTAACTAGGTTTTATGGGTTTCATATAAATATAACTCATTCCATATATTGTAAAATGATAGATTAATTGTAAAGCATTAATTATTTTTTTCTTCTTGTTCTTTATCCAATTAATTCTAAACTTATCAAAATTATTTCTTGTGCCGTTCAAACAAATCGAGTGAGATTCTTGAGTCTTGTAATCACGGGGTCAACAAATTATCGACGATTGTGTTGACTTTTTGGTTCAATATTTTTGAATCAAGTTTAAACGTTGAATCTTGGCTTTCTTGGGGTTGAATTAATCTTGCGTGGGTTTCGTAGCCATTATTGCTACGTGGGTTTGCATTATACATATTTGAAGATGTTTTCTTCAAAGGTTATGTTGTGATTAACCCCGGTGCTCGATCACTTTATTGGTTTGCGTCCCGAGAAGCGATTTTCTTTACACGTGGCAATGTATAGACGTGAGTGTGGCCCGATTTTATGTTGACTCGTTTTCAGGGGTAAACACATCTAAAAGCAAAAGAAAAATAAGACAATAGGGAAAAAATAGTACAATGTATAACTCGTTGATGCATTAATAATGGAGAAAATGGGCCTCCCTCTCACTAAACTTCGACACTTGAGCATCTCATCTCTTGTTTCTTCTCCAAAAACAATCACACCCCTAAACTCCATCTCCTCCATTCATCATCCAAAATCGAAATATCCTTAATTTCTTATTCTTCGTTCAAGTGAAATCCTATTACAACAAGAAGTCGTTGCTCTCTTTGTTTAATTACTTTTGATAGTCAATAGTACATGAATAGTCATTTAATCAATAACGAGAATTGGTTCTTTGATTATAATATATTTTGTGATCGTACAAGATTATATATGGATGAAACGTATAGCCTTCATTCCACGAGTGATTACTCGGATAAGGCCTTGATGTCACCGGATAACCTGATTATTCCGGCGGAGTATGCCCTGATTTTCTCCGGCGACCATCACAGCTATCCCATATCGGGATCGACCGAGAATATCAATTTCCCGTGTTTAGTGGCAACAGAAGTGGCGTCTATTAATCCACAAACAGAAAAAGGAAAACCTGAAGATGAACATGGACATGGTTCCAGTTCGATCAAGGCAAAAATTGCTTCTCATCCTTCATACCCAAAATTGCTCAATGCTTATCTGGACTGTCAAAAGGTTCAGTCTGATCGAAATTTATAAGAATCAGTTGCAGTGTTTATCAGCTTTTTTGCTTTGTTTGTTCCTCAAGCTTTCGTAATAATAAGGATTATGTCAGAAATATGATTCAATCAAGATTAAATTTTGATTTAGAAAGTGCTTTTCTACGGATAATTAAAGTTTCTGTGAAGACCATAACTTTTGATATACTTCTTGAATTTAATTTATGTTATGTCTGCAATAATGTTTTACCAAAAAAAAAAATAGGGTTTTGCTACGCAGGGCAAATAAATCATTTATTCTTCGAAAATGGCAACTGGCTTTAGATTTTTCTAGCAATCTGTTATTTTTCTTTTTCCTATTGAGTAAATTTTTCAATTTTCAGGTTGGAGCACCCCCAGAAATAGCATCTTTGCTTGACGAAATCAATCGAGAATACGAGTTTTGTAAGCAAGATGAACTTTCCGTTTGCTTAGGAGTTGATCCTGAGCTCGACGACTTCATGGTCATCCTCCCTCCCTCCCTCTTACACGCATATGCACACAAAGCTTAAATGAGTAAAGAAGCCTTGAAAATTGAAACTAAGATTATGAGATAATGGACAAATTCCTTTATTTCAACTTTGCCTCCAACTTTATTTTCTTCTCTAATCAGTTTCTGTACAAGTCATTTCATGACTGCACATTGAAATTCTTATATATTGGTCTTAATCTTCTAATTTGTCTCACTATAAGAGGTCTCTAACTTCTTCTTTGTATAGGAAACATACTATGACATATTGGTGAAGTACAAATCAGATCTTTCAAGGCCTTTTGATGAAGCAATGTCGTTTCTCAGTGAGATTGAAACTCAACTGGGCAATCTTTGCAAAGGTACGTCCTTCGAGATTTCTTTTTAACCCACTACACCCACCCCCACCGCCCAAAATCCTGACTCAACTTAAGAACGCCTTTATAAAAGACAACCCAATTGTTCTGTAGCAAGAAGGAATAATCAAAGGCCAATGAATAATAGCTTAGAGCATTACCTCATAGAAACCCTAAAACTAAAAGAATCTTGAGTTCGGGATTGTTTTTTCTCCCAAACATAAATTCTTGGATTATGCTACTTGTACATAAAATTGATACATAAGGGATTAATAAGATGATGTGGAAGGACAAGAGTAAATGAAAAAGTTGACTGTATTTTAAACTGACTAATGATAGAATATCATGTCGCATTATGTAATCCTTATGTAAACTTTAACGCACGGGATCATAAATTCTTTGGTTTTGTATTTGTGTGTGGTGCAGATTGTTTTCTGACTATTACACGTGACCTCTATTTCCTGTGGGCACAGAAAATTCTAGCATACCTTGGTGAACAGTCAAGATGTTTTGGTTGAAACTAAGAGTACAACCATTATAGTAGGAAAAAAAAAAGTTTTGAATAATGATTTTTAGAAGAATATGTGGTTAAAAAGTAGAAAAAATTTAATATACTTGTAAAATATTTTATTGTGTGAATGTATGGTTGAAAATGGTTATATAGTAAATCATAAAATAAAGTAAAGAATGTCAAACATGGACTAAAATCAAATATTTTCAAACTCAAGTTGTTAGAAGTGATTTAAATTTAACTAGTTCAAGAGCATGTCGAATTCATTTTAATTTGTTTTTACCATAGGCGATGCATGCATTCGACTAGGCTTGCATTTATAAGCTTTATCTACTTCGATACTAAACTAAGCTCCCGTTTGATGGGAATTAAAATTAAATTTTTAGTAAATTTCGATTTTGATAAAAATTAATAAAATGTGTAATTGAAAAATTATGAATCCCATCAAACATGTAATTAAAATTAATTACGGCTAAATTTGTTTGACAAACCTGAACTGTAGCAAATGAAGTTTATCTGATTAGACGTATCAGAGGGCAGATCATGGCAGTACAGTAGTTTCCTCTTTCAAACAACATCACTACTTCATTCTTTAGATAGTTAGTTCTGTCTTGGGTGTTTTCCTCGGCATTAGTCTCTGATGAGTTGGGGGGAGACCTTCGGTTGATCTTGCTTCAATGTAAGCTTCAACGTGTTCCATTACGTGCAATGACTATATAAGTATTGATGTAATCATGCTTGCCTGCTTACTTTTAAAAGGGTTTCAAGTTCCAACAGATCATGCGTTGGCCTCAAACGTGAATTAAAGATTGGGAAGTGTCTAATTCCCCATTGGTTGGCTATTAAAGCTATGTCTTCTTGTGAATTACTTCTTAATAAATAATAATTATGTGTTCTTAAAAAGTAAATAATGTACTATCACAAAGGGATAACTGTTCATCTGAATTAACTGTTTCTGCCATCTTTATTCGCTGATTGGCATCCAATTTCTTCTTTTGTTGGAAAAGATATAAAACAATAAATAATTTGTCGCTTTTGAATAATTTAGATCTTTAGATGAAATGGTTTATCGTAGTATCTAATTTACATAAATTCCACGTTCAGGTACGCAGATCGAGCTCTATAAGCTTTATAAACGTTTTTTCATTATAGTGTATTACTGTAGCAACGGACGATAACATAGCTTCACATTGAAGCGAATCTTTGTAAATATTGCATGTTCTTGTGTCTATTTTCTCTCTTTGATTTATTGCTTTTGATGATATAAAATTAGGGTTTCTAATTCTCAACATTACCTACCACTTTGCCTCGCATTCTTTAGGATCTTTATTCAATTAATTAATGAGTGTAAACTTTACATAATGAGTGTGCAAAGCACAAATGTTTGCTCAACTTAATCTGTAAATCACTAATAAATTTTAAAAAATAACTCAAAGTTAGATTAATTTATGCAGAAACGGCTGCTGATCTTATCTTAATTTGTATTAATGTAGATATCTGGTAACAGCCTTTGAAATTGAATGCTAATATGCAGTCGACTAAAATATATTATTAAGGTAGAAGAGATTAAGTTTAGGCATATGATTAGTTCTTTGACCGTTTCAAAGTACACATTAACTTTTTGGGTGCTGAAGTTATATATTTCCATTTGTAGATGCCCACGTGTTTGATCTTTTTTTCTTCTTCTTCTTCTTAATTTATACATGAATGTGTACTTAATTAATTTAGTTTCTTTTAAGATACTATGGGTATCCACCTGAATGTCGTATTAGCACAATTTCACGTGCATCTTCATAGTATGCATCAAATGTACTGCTGTCTTCACGAGAAATTTTGCATATTACAGCATCTTGGTACATCACATTAGATAAGACCTCAAGAAATTCGGGAGTTATTTCGACAAAATAAAAAAAGTACTTTGTAGCAGGTTTTATTAACAAAATAGATGGTGTGTCTATCGTGCTGAATATGTCGTATTACAAGTTATTCAAAGCTGATTATATCTCTATATATAGCGTAAGGATTGATCTAATGGGATGAAGTTGCTATCTCATTAATTATGTTTTTGACATTTCGACGCATCATCTCTTTATAGTAAGTGGGAAGATGCCAATATTACCCATTTACTATGAAGTACCAAAACTATATTAGAGAGACAATCAAGGAGATAGAAACATCGGAATAACTCATCTAGATTCTTATTACATGATGTAAATTGTGGTTCTTGTGTCTTTACGTTTGAAAAATGAGAACAAAGTGGTGTACAATAGTATGTCTTTTGCTTAGAGCCTGGATTAGTTATATAGTTATGCCCCTTGTACAAGGAAAAAATGTACATGGAGCTTATAGGTGTTGCGTTGACAGCATCTGTATGATTGTATTTTTTCTTTTTCTTTTTTGTCAACTTTCAATGAGGAAATGACAAGTCTCCCCTAAATCCGGTTAGCTTTCCCATGTGAACCATGCATAACTCTTAATTATATGCCTTCTTTTACTGTGATATTAATATGCCTTTTTTTTTTTTTTAAATCCTCTTTGAAAGAGAGAGTAGATGTTGGTAGGGTAAGCCTAGCTTTATTGGGGAGCCCGGATACGGCGGGTGGTCGAAAATCACATGGACGCCCGGGGTTTACGCTGCCGGTCAGTCCTTTTAATTACACACACGCACACGCTCTTCTTGTCAGAGACTAGGAGCTGCATATAATGCTTGTCCTATCCTATTCACAATTTTTCCACTTTATGGATCTTTATTCCTTGGGACATCGAATTTTTAAGTAGGCCCAAAATAAGTTAATTTGATTTTTCTATTCATCCTAGCCTCACGATGAACATCAATGATGATAAATAATATTACTCGCTTTGAATGTTTAGATTTTTATGACTTTTTTAGAAAGTAAATGCTCCGATTTATCGCTTGCTTTTTGAAAAAAAAATAAAATTTAACTTTAAAGCTAGACCAACATGCTAATTTAAAGCACTCAATTTAAGCATAAGTAGTAATTTTTTAAAGATTCAAGCATGTTTAATTGCTCTATTTCATGAACATAATATTCCTAAAATTGAATTGAAGGAAGCGAAAGATATCATGTTTAATTGTTGATGTTATAGAGTGTGTAGTATTTGTCCATCTTGTTATATTGAACTCGTAATTCTCAATATTCACTATGTTTAAATTCTATCATGTCCTCGTGCATTGTTAAATACGCTTTTAAAAGAAACGACTCTATTATCAAATAAATTGTAAGTGATCTCTAGTGATTTTGAGCTTTCTTGTAAGCTTAAATTCTTAGAAATTCGCTATTATATATTAAGAAATCCATTATATGTCAAAGTTTTATTCTATTTTTAGTCCATATGTGTTAGATATGAATTCCACCAGATAAGGTGGGTAAACCTTATGGAGCCCCCATATCTGATATTATATGCCCCCTCCAATTGCTGGCGCCTACCTTCTGCTCCAGCACTCTTTATTTGACTAAGAAATTGCTGCCCATTATTTAGCCCATGTTATTAAAAAATGAAAAATAAAAATCTCAAACTTATTGTTATTTACAAGTACTTTAAAAAATTACTCTTTCAAAACTCATTTTTTCAAATATATATATATATCAAACATAGGGTTAATTAATTGAACCAATAAATGGAACGAGAGGTTAGAAAATTATTGGATAAGATATGTTGGGTCGGTCGTGTTATATATACATAATAATTTATATATTGGTTTACATACACATAATGAAATGACATATATTGGGTTAGAAATTCTTCAATCAAATAAAACTTACCCACTCTTTTTTGACATCTCATCTTATCTTTGTGTAAACCATTATGTAACTCGTGTAACGTGGATAGAACAAAATTTTAAAATAAAATAAAATAAGTTACAATGCTTCTTTCCATTTTTTTAAATCTAATTTCGTCTTGTATTACATACCGAACTTAAGTGTCATAGTCTAAATTATGTGAAGTTTCTTGATTACATTGAGAAACCTGGATCAATTATGCCCCTGTTTGCGCCCCATTTTGATAAGTTACCATTGACTTTAGCACCCGAACCATAAAATACTGAGTATTGATGCCATGAAGATGTGTTTTAAGATCTCACATTGAAAATCCTCCTTTTATTCTTTGTACAGATGATGGAGTTTTGTCTCCGGACGAGGAGTTCATCGAAGTAACAGAGGTACACAATAAACAAATCATGAGCGGCGATCGTGAACTTAAAGACATGCTCATATTTAGATACGGTAGCCAAATAAATAACCTAAAGCAAGGATTTTCGAAGAAGAAAAAGGGAAAACTTCCAAATGATGCAAAGAGAACATTGCTTCAGTGGTGGAATACTCACTACAAATGGCCTTATCCGACGGTTAGTATTTTCTTCATCGAATTTATACGATGAAATGGATATGATTCTTTATTAATATATTACATGTTTCATGGAATGAGTTGGACTCGATTAAGGGGGGTAAATTGCATAAACTTTTTGTTCCATTACCTTGTTGAGTCGTGTCCAATAAGGTAACAATATGCACGTAATGCATCATTGAAATGTCCTGGTCATGTCAAAACAACCTATGAAAAATCCTATAAATACTAAGCTGTTGTTTGATCCCCCTTTTCTCAAAACTCATTTTCAACCATGTATTCATAAAATAATTCTGCACATAAATTCAAAATATTTTCCTACTTTTTAAAAACACATTCTCCAAAAAAATCATTATTCCAAAATCTAGTAACACCAAATAATAGGCTCATACAAGAGCTAAATGTGTTGAAATGATGAATCATGAGATAAACTGCTGATGAACTATTAATTTAATCTTTTAATAGGGAGTGATTAACGTAAAATGTTTGTGTGTTACCTTATTGACTCATGTCCAATATACAGTAACAAACGTGCACATAATATATCATTGAAACCTCAGACCGTACTTTTCCTTAATCATGTCAAAATACTTCAGTATTGCAGAACATACGACTGACTTGATTTGGTTCATGTTCATGTCCAGGAAGCCGATAAAATCACACTAGCCGAATCCACAGGACTGGATCAGAAACAAATTACCAACTGGTTTATAAACCAAAGAAAACGGCATTGGAAACCATCTGATAACATGCAGTTCACAGTAATGGACAATATATCTGATGAATTCTTCATCAATGCTGATTAAATTCAATGCTGATGTTTGTCTCTTGGATTTATGTATTTTGGGAGATAGAATAATTTATATATTTTTTTATTTTCCTCATTAGATTATCAATTTGAAAATAATTGTGAACATGAAGAATGGCTCATAATATCCCATTGATAAGATTCCTATGTTGAGATTTGTTTACATTCTATATGCATCAAGGGTCATTTTGTAAGGCATGGTCAACCAAAAAATGAGAGAATAATTTTTTATGTAATTTTTTATTTTTTTACATTTAGCGTCAAATTTTCAAGTTAAATTTCTCTACTGAGATTTCATTTTTATACCTGTTAAATGGCACAAGAGAGTTATAGGTGGTGCAACCAAGTGAAAGTTTAATAAAGAGCATTACTGGTCTTTTTTTTATCCCATTTAGTGATATTTGTGTCAATTTCTCTAGAGGTCCACTCCACATATCTCTATGTATTCAAATTGCAACCCAGGACTCAGAACGAACTAAATCAAGGATAATTGATTTTTACTGGGGCTATGAATGAAAAGTGACTTCAGGTGTTTTACTAGACCAAGCAATGAACACCAGTTCTAAGTGACATACCGTGAAAACTAGGAATGAATTGCTTCCTAGCAAGAGTTCGAAGTTCTTTCTCGCATATATGACCGAGCCTCTTGTTTTCAAATATTAGTATCTGCTTATTTTTAAACTACGTTAATGTGTCCTTTGAGATGCTTTGCTTGCGTAAAATAGAGTGTACTCGTTTTTATTCCTTAGGCAACTATTAGGTACCCTTTGGTGAGCTTCCATTTACTTCCATCGAAATTGCTATAATATCCACCATCGTCAAGGTTTTTCTCCCAAGATTGTCTCCAAGCTGATATCTCCAATCCCAACAATACTTGACATTTCATTCTTCCCCATTTTGACATTACCTAAATCATAAACACTATAAGAGTTGAAAAAGTCACCGCACAAAGTAACGTGAAAAGAGGCATTAGAATCTATCACCCGATCCCATCAAAAAAAAAAGAATCTATCACTCGATCACCAGGAACGGATTCAAAGTCGAATTACAAACCAGACTAATACGTAAAAATAAATAAAATTACACATGAATTTTATTTTTTTACATAAATTTTTTTCCCTCCTGGGACTGGACCGGGTTACAACCCAACCCGGCGCGGCCCAACCCCCCAACATCCGTCCCTGCCGATCACTATCTTAGCATGCAAGATTGTATCATCTTCAAAGACATCACCTCAGTCGATAGTGGGTTAGTATGTTTCTCATGTATATTTCCTTTCTATTTTGTGCTCAAGTTTGTTGCAAAGAAAACACCTGACGTGCTTTTTGGATTTAGACTTTCTTCTACAAGATTTCTTTTCAGTGACCACTAGACTTTATGCTTTTACTTCTTTCTTGCTTTTTATGTTTGAAAAATGATGTTTTGGCCCACTTTACACCTAGAGGGGATGTATAGGTGTACTATACAAAATTTAAATTTATCAATAATAATTTGAAACAAGTCACAAATTGTAAAGTCTTGATATACAAGAAATAAAATTACTAGCACAACAATCAATAAAGTAAGAAAGTAAATAACATTGCTACTTGTTTACGAAGGAAAAACTCTTGAAGAGCTCTTCAAGAGAAAAATCATCGGAAATCACCTGCCATCAAATGATCCACTAGAAAAGATTGAACTTACATATTTGATCCACACAAAATTAAGTGTTAGTAGCCTCAACTTCCTATATGTAATTACCTTTAGAGCCCCTTGATTGTGTAGTGTTGGGGAGGAGATCAACCAATTAGCTCAAGATCAAACAAATAAATGTAATCCAAAACTAACAACAATCAGAAACTGAAAGCCTAAGAACATTAAACAGCAAACTCGAACAAGAAATCAGCTTAAAATGACTGAAAACGATGAACAGAAACTCATCTCTTCATCAAAGCCCACAGGCCAAAATCTCAACAGATTTGTGCTTCAATCGTACAAGAATGAACCACCGACGTTCGAATCAAACCCAAGATAAAGATACAAAAGTATATAACTCAGACAAGGCCGATTATTACACAAATAGAGACTCTCTCAACTGATAACACATGGTTTACACAAGAACCAACCTTCAAACAATGTAATCACACAAGATTTACAAACTATTAAGAGAAAACAAGAAATCAAATGAGCAGATTTGATTTTTACTGAGAGGAGAAGAGAACTCTCGAATAACGGNCTCTCGAAAAAACGGCGCAGGGAACGAGAATGGAAGAGTCGAGAAGCCAAAGTGAGTCTCAAACCCTAGAAAACCCGCTTTTATATGAGTCACCTAAAGGTCGTCTATCCAACGGTGTAGGAGGTGACACTTAGCGACATCACGAGCATTCAAAATCAGGTAAGTGAAATCACGGTTTTAAGCTTATTTACAAACACGTTTTTGCACCAAAAACAAACCAATAGAACTTTGGGCTGGACTTCAATTCCAGTTGGGCCAACTCATTTTTGGCCCATTAGCCATTGCATCATTGTGCCACATTTTCCTTTCATACTCCACCTTGGTACAATGATTCAAACATTAGTGGTTACTTAAAAAATATAGACATCATCAACATAGAACTGCAGTATCCACAGATCAGCAGCAAGGTGCAACATTCAGCAAGGTCAAGCAGTTCAGAAATTTGTTTAATGATAGAACTTTTAAGGCACTGGTTATGATAACTACTCCTGTTATTGTAGCTGTCGTTCTTCTGATCAAGCAAAGCCGTGTAGATTGAACAAGTTCCTATTTGACTTTTGCCCTGGAAGTGAACACAAGATGAATTTCGTCGGGCTTCTATTTGGAGATCGAGGAAGATATGTCCATCCCATGATTTTTGAACTCGATAGACAGTATAGATTTTCGACTATGAAGAAAACTGTGAATTTC